AAGCCAATGATGCCTCAGGGGGGGAAGGTGCCCAGCCTGTGTGCCCAGACAGACAAATCAACACTTTGCTAGGATGTCAGTTGCCTAATGATAAATCAAGAGGGTAGAAAGGAGGATCGAATATGTAGAAATCAAGGTTGGTCCAGAAATATGTCATCTGGTGCCAGAAGTGTGTCACCATCTGACTTCTTGATACTTTAACTGTGTGGACAGGCCAAGGATGTTTCTTGGCAAGGGGACAAGGCATTCTGCACAAATTCAATGGTTAACTTGGCACCGACTCAGGATCAGCTTTAAAGTTCAAAGCAGATTCTTGGCCTGGTGCAGATTAAGGTTATCTTTTTCCCATTCTGTTCTTTCCTGGCGCAGAATAAATATCCAAGGTTGTTCTTGAGCATAGTGCTCTCAGTAAGAAGGAGAGTTCTATCAGTTAATGCTTTCAACCCCGATATAAATATCTTGACTAATCTGGTTGAACACAAAAGTTCCCTTATAACTTGAAAAGAGATTGTTCTTGTGCCAAAGAGGAGAAGTCCCACTCAAGCAGGAAGAATCTAGATTTTCAAATGAACAGAATACTAACTAGACCAGAGCACCTGGATTAATTTTTCTTTATTCAAATGATTTAGTTCTTGCCTTTCAGGATACACAATCTGCCAATATATGGCTTGTAACTGTCTCCATATAAGCATTCTCACACTATCAACAGTTTGTCAACATTGAGCAAGTCTTCAGGATCCTTTCTATGGGGCAAGGAAGGAGTTAAATACCCCATACATCTCCTGAGACTGCTCAAGCTAATAGCATAATTGCAGGAAATTAGTCCAACTGCATTGTGCCACCCAGGGGAAACATTCCTTGATATCTGCCTACTGTATTCTTTATTAAGAAAAATCATACAGAAACAACAGCAGATTGAGCTAAATAGACTGTAAATTGGCACAGGCGATGCCACTTCATGCTTGCTTTTGAAAATTAAACACAGCACTGAGAAACCATTCAGAATTAACTGAGAGGGATTTTTGTGATCAAACTTCAGCATCTATAATGCCAACCATTTTCTCCTACTCTTCTGAAGAAGAGTCCCAGACCAGCAGTAGAAGAACCTTGATAGAGGCAGTGCAGTAATATTGGACCTCATGAGAGTTTAGCTCAGTATTGCTGACACGGGCTGGTAGTAGCTCTCTACCCTTCAGGTAGACATTCTGTTCCATCTGCCAGGGCTTGAACTTGTCACCTTTTTCATGCAATGCATGAAACCAACCATTGAACTATATACATTGAGTGACTCAGCAGGGCATCTGATGGAACTCTACTTATGGACTGAGTTTTTCAGATGGGTTGGCATGTTGGTCAGCAAACCGTGGGGGAGAAATCTGCATTCACTGTAAGTACCTGAGAGGGCAACAGGCCAACTGCCTGTAGGTTTCCGTTTGCACACAGAGAAATGCTGCATAATGTGTGATGATAAGCAAAGTGATGAGTGTGGAGGATCATATTTGTCTGCTAATGACTCAGAGGCTGTTTCCCTAGGTGATCGTATTCCCTGAAACTCCCCCACAACCATGGATGGCTTAATCAGGAGAAAGGACAAGGTAGCCGGAGGTTGCCAAGAATCGTCTCAAATGTTTCCCTTGATCCCATCAAAAAGAACCCCACACCTTTCATTTTCTATACATTCCTGAAGGACATTACTTCTTAACATATTTGGTGGGTGTATGCGGGTGTGGGTGTGTGCATAAATAGCTCTACATAGGATCTCCACAGCTCTACACAGGATTAAGCTAAAAGTCTCATAGATACTTTATGAGGAATTCAGCGGGTTCAGCAGCTGCTCCCTTTGTAGGTTTTATTTATCTTGGCTTCACCCCAATGTTCTTCAGAGCTGCATACCTAAATAAAGACCATTTTATTCTCAAACAGCCTTGAGAGATAGGATTTTTTTAAAAAAAAGGAAGAGAGAGAGACAACTTGTCTATTCTACCTGGTTTTGAATCCGGACCTCCCCAGCTAAAGGCAAACATACCACAATGCCTTTCCACTTAGTTCCAATGTTTTAAGGATATTTAGTCAAGGGGGGGAAAGAACTTATTTGAAATATGTATTACAACAAATTGCCCTAGGTTTAGCAGTTGCCAACCTCTGGCAATACTTTTTTAACTGCTCTACCTAGCCTGGAGTCCTTTTAACAGTGATACCTGCAGAACCTGTGCACGTGATGAAGTATTTCTTCTGAGGGAGATTTCAAGGTGCACATAGTTCATCCATTACTACATGGTCACCGTCTATTGGATCTCTCATCATTGTATGGAATAAATTGACAGGGCACCTAAGATCACAGGAAAATTAAAATATCCTGGGATCTTCTTTCCCAGTGGCTGTAGGCAAGCTATCTTCCATATTAGCCTATTTATCAAACGGATTGCTTAATTGAGGAATGCACATAAACTTTCAAAACAGAAATTCCCGGGGTGTGTGTGTAGATTTTTGTAACCCATTTTTATTTATTTTTATAAATAACTTAAGGCAGCAAACATACCTAATACTCCGTCCTCCTTTTATTTTCTACACAACAACCCTGTGAGGTAAGTTGGATTGAGAGAGAGAGTGACTGATCCAAAGTCACCCAACCCAGCTAACACGCCTAAGGCAAAACTACAACTCACTGTCTCCTGATTTCTAGCCAACAGTCCAAACTGTTCTAGTGTTTTAATCATCATTAGATGTTCTGACCAGCTATTTTGTGGACTGTATAATGGTTACGATGATGCAACTTAAATTTTACATTGTTACACATGCAGGTGAATTATTTTGTTTGAAGAGGAAATTGGGCCACCACTTCACCTTTAAAATTCTAAATAGGAACTCCTGCTTACTGCTCAACTCTGCTGCATTCCACATGTTCGTCAGCTATATGTCAGGCTTCCATATTGTGTTTTATTGACATTTTTGGTAGCTCATCTCCTTTCCCTTCCTTAAAGCCCCCTTTTTATTCTGGACTCTTGCTTCTTCCTAAATATCTAAGGAGGGGAACAATTATTGTGATTCTCATTCTTGAAAGAGCTGAGGACTAGATCGTGACACAAAGGAAAGGACTTCATTCAACCTCCCTAACACTGTCCCACAAAATCTGTCCTGAGCACCTACACTGCAACCTGCCTGAACCCAATCTCTCTGGAGAGGTGTAGCATAATGTTTACCATTCCTCACAATGAAGGGATGATGATGCTGTAAAGCAATGGCCCCCAACCATTTGGGCACCAGGGACCAGTTCCACGGAGAAAGTTTTGGGTTTTTTTTGGACCAGAAGGGGCGTGGTTTTGCATGCTACCTGCACCTTGCTGATACATAGGGCTTCACTTGTTTGCATGCCCCAATTACTGGCATGTGGCAGACTGCTGCCCAGCCATAGACCAAGGTTTGGGGACCCCTGCTGTAATTTATCCCACCTGGCCAGTCAGTGAACACTGGTTGCAAAGTTGATTACCAGCCCCTTCATATATAGTTATTTGAATGATTGATTCTAGTTTTTCAATTGTGCTGAAGACAGTGTGCAAAAAAACAGCACAATCCCTTTTATTTTTAATTATTCAAACACAACAAGATGAAATGAAGCATAACTGATTGGATGGAACAGCTCTTTGGTGGTGGACTGAAAAATAAAAGTCCTGAACTGCCTTAAAAAGTTAGGTAAGACCGTCTCCTCTGAGGAGAGAGAGGTATTTCCAAATTGTCCAAAGTTGTGTAAACTACGAAATAACCCAAAATTGTAGAATCGGCTGAAAAACTTGCTCCCAATTATATTTTAATTCTTCCCAGACTTCAGATAAACGGTTCCTATGCCCGACCATCCATTTTATTCATTTAAACACGTGGCACGGGTAAGCATGCCACCCTGTTACAGAAAGGGGAGAATCCCGTAATTCACTGGGACATTTCTGAATACTTTTTCCCCAACTCAAACTACCTTGCGTGCCACTAACAAAGAGAGGGAGGAATGTGCCGGTGGGGCGCACTGCCAATAAAGCCCCAGGGCCACATGCCAAACAAACCAATAGTACTTGAGAAGGATGCTTATAACAGAGTAGTTGGAAGGGATCTTGGAGGTCCTCTAGTCCAACCCCCTGCTTCAGCAGGAGACCCCCATACTGGACCATCTCAGACCAATGGCTGTCCAATTCCTGTGCAAGTGATCCCCGTCTCACTCCTTCGTTCACAGGTAGTCCTCGACTTACAATAGTTCGTTTAGTGACCATTCGAAGTTACAACAGCGTTTTAAAAAGTGACTTGTGACCACATTTCACACTTATGACCATCCCCATGATTTAGATTAGGGTGCTTTGATAACCGGCTCACATTTATGATGGTTGCAGCGTCCTGGAGTCATGTGATTCTCCTGCGAGCCAGATTTTAACAACTGCGCTGATTCACTTAAGACATGTGGCAGAGAAAAGTCGTAAAATGGGGCCACACGCACTCAGCAAATTTCTCACAACATACGTTTGGGGCTCAACTGTCGTCATAAGTTGAGGACTACCTGTACTTTCTTTCTCCCCCCACCCCTCCCCTCCGGACATATGAAGCAGCGCCCCCACCCCCCACTTTCCCCCTTCTCTTTCATTCCTGCTACTATTATTCTCCTCTTCCTCCTGCGCTACCTCACATAATTCAGCTCCCTGCTCCTCGCAGCGTTTTTAGAGCCACACCGAACTGGCCGCTATGCCGACCGCAACGACAGGACGCCAGAAGGATGACCTATGGCGATCCAGACGTCGACTCTCCGCCTCCTCGGACCTCTTTCCAGGCTGGGAGAAACCTCCCGTTTAGTTTCCCTGTTGCGTCGCCGCTGCCGCCAAGTTCTCCCTTCTGCCGACCTAAGCCCTCTGGCCGCCCCCCACCCCCCACGCCCCGGCCGCTTCCCTCGGTTGGCTCCACACGCGCCGCCTCTTGTGGCTTGGAGCGGCTCTCCTCCACGGTGCCGGACGGCTCACTCTACTTACCTTCGGCAGCTGTTTCCTCTTCCTTTTGCCCGGCTGCTTTGGGGCTTGCTCTTCCCGCCTGGGGGGCGCCAAAGACTGCGGGGGGCGAGGGGTTCCCTCACAGCACCCGAGATTCACCGTACATCCCATCCAACCAGGCTCTCGCGGCGGTAGTGGTGGTGGGTGATCCCGACCCCCGCCTCTGCTGCCCTGGATGCCAACCGGGCAGCGAGATTCCCCATGCCCAAGTGGCACCACAGCGGGCACCACGGAGAGTGGAAGGGACTGGCTGGTTGGCTCACCCTCTCGGCTGCCGCTGCTCCTCCCTGCCTCCCTCCCTCCCTCCCCTGGGCCTGCCTGAACCACCTTTCTTCGTGGGGGTGCCCCTCTTTCTAAATAAGCATTATTTTTAAGGGAATGCTATGAACATATTGGAGATTTGGATAGGAATGCTGGGGGGGAAATAACCCTGTACTCCTCCTCTTCATCACACAAGCAAAAAGGAAAGTTCTGTTGGGGCAGCACAGAGATGAGACTTTGCCTAAGGAGGAAGGAGCTACTTCAAAAGCTGGGAGTGCATCATGTTGCAACATTGGGAGCTAGAACCAATTTAAACTGTATTTCTTGTGATGCACTCTATAATCCAGAAGTAGAAAACCATTCTTTAGTTGGGGGCTATACAGTATTTCTTTGGGGTTATCTATGAGGATTTTTGCTAGTGGTGGCTACCAATACATGCAATGAGCAGAAATTAGCTAGGACAGCTCTCTCGCTCCCTCCCCCCCCCTCTCTCTCTCCCTCCCTCCCTCTCTCTATATATATCCCTCTCACCCTCTCTCTTTCTCTCTCCCTCCCTCCTACTCTTTCCTTCCCCCCACTCCTACTTTCTTCCTCTCTCTCCCTCTCTCTTCCTCTCTCACTCTCTCCTACTCTCCCCCCTCATACTCTTTCTCCCTCCCTCTCTTTTACTCTCTCCCTCTCTCCTACTCTCTTCCCTCTTTCTCCCTCCCCGTCTCTCCCTCTCTCCTACTCTCTCTCTTCCTCTCCCTCCCTCTCTCTTCCTCTCTCACTCTCCTAGTCTCTCCCTCTCCCCCTCTCCTACTCTCCCTCCCTCCCTCCTACTCTTTCCTTCCCTCCTCTCCTACTTTCTCCCTCTCCTTCCCTTACTCTCTCGCTCTCTCCTACTCTTTTCCTCTCTTTCTCCCTCCCCCTCTCTCCCTCTCTCCTACTCTCTCTCTTCCTCTCCCTCCCTCTCTCTTCCTCTCTCACTCTCTCCTAGTCTCTCCCTCTCCCCCCTCTCCTACTCTCCCTCCCT